GCTGGTATGTTTGGCTGAGCCTGGAAAGGAAATGAACTAATTCGAGTATGTGCACATTTATTTATTGATGTAAGTTGCGACTATTTTATTAACAAAGAAAACAAAGTTGCAGAAAATAAAAAAAGGCAATATTTGAAACGCCTCACCCTGCTGCACACTGGCAGAATGCGTGACGTATCGTCACCGGATCATTCTGGATGAAAACAAGCTGCTTGTAGTGGCCTGCCTTCATAGAGGGCAGACAGGTGCTTCTTATGTAGCAGCTGCTGTCGTCGTTTCGGAGGAACTGGACGTTCCTCACAAACTTCTCTTCCTTGAAGCTCCACCCTCTGAGCGTTTGTCTTGCTGAAATTGGAGCTTTTTCCCTGAAGAACCTGTCTATATCTCCCTCCGACACCGCGGGAGCTTCCGCTAGGTTGGTTGTCCAACCCTTTGCGTCTAGTAAAGAGGAGCAGGTTGCTGCCATGCTTGTCTATGCGCTTCAAAACTGCCGCGCATAACAGACAGCGATACGTCGTCTGCTACGCGCCATGATGATGATGATGATGCGCTTGTGGCCATTTTTTTTTTTTAACCATGCGATTTGTTTTTGTGTCAAAATCCGCAAACTTTATGCTTGCACTTTCCTTTCTTGTTCTTTTTTCGCGGCGTCGAATGCTTATCTCTACTGGAGTTTGTTGAAAGTTGCAAATTCAGAAATACAAACTTCCAAATCGAAAGCTTCAAACATCGCTTGACCGCTTGGCGCTTGGCTCTATGCTTGGCTGGCTTGGCCATTGGCTGAGCGTTGGCTGAGCGCAACGGTTGCGGGGCCACGGTGGTCAGCTGGGCGGCTGAGCGGGCACGCGAGTTGGACTTTATTTTCCCGTATTGTTTGGTGCCTACGTTCTTTTTGCGCGCTGATTTTAGTCCGTACTGTGCTTCGTACCTGGATACCTCCTGTGCAACGCAGTCAATGCTGCTGGCGCGAGCGCGTGCAAATCAATCGCTGGACAAACCAAACCCACAACCTCCCGTTCAGTTACTCGCGCCAGTGGATTTAGCAGCGTGGTATGCTTCTTTTCATCACTTTCCGCCGAACGATAGCAACGGCTGAAGATGAGAACACCCGTTGTGGCCAACCTTTCTTCGGGAGCGTGTGTGGCGGTTAAGGGGAATCCTCGCAGCTGGCTGCCCAGGCCATCCCGACCGAACGTTTTGTGGAAGTTTGACGATTTTCCATTAGTGTGCCTTAAAATATACTCCGTTTCACCTTATGTTGTACCGCAGACAAGGCTAGAAGCGCGAGCTCATAGCGTTGGGAGCTGCTCTTAACGCACGAGAGCTTGTGCCGCCGAAATGTGCCCTAAAGCAAGGAGCTCGCGCTTGTAGCCTTTCTTGCGGTACATCATAAGGTGAAACAGAGTATATCCGGGAGCATTGCGTTTATAGAATAGGCGCTTACGCGTGGCTGCGTCACGGGCTGTATTTCCAGTTGGATTCCTAAGCGACTGATACGTTGCAAAAATTGCAAAGTAATGTCCGGTGAGTTGCAGTCGCACGTGGAGTGTAAACCCCGCGAGAGAGCACGACGGCTTCAGTTGAAAAGATGCCCGTGTTTGACGTGGGCTGAGATGAAGTTCCGGTCGCACGTTCACACCGTACGTTTTATTTGTACAGTCACTACCACGGCTGTTTTGGAAATCATTAGATCCTAATCACATTCCCTGAAGAAATAATCGCTGTGGTGTTTTTGCAATACTTCCTGCGACAGAAAGAAAGATAAGGAGCGGCCAGCTTCTTGCGCCCATGACATGGTTGCTTCTGAACCTTAGGTGTACCCCATGCTAAAGATAAGATATACCAGAAGTGGTCTCTGCACGAGAGCCGAAAGCACAGTATCGAGAATGCGGTAGCAAAGGAGAACCTTCAGCAATGGAGAAAATACTGGGATACGATGTGAGCAATGTCTTCGAGATATCGGGCCGAGACTTAAATAAATCGCAATATTTTTTTTATTTGTGAACTATGACACTAATTTACCACACAAGACCAACTGGGTGATGGATTCACCCAATCAAAAATTACAAAAAAAAAAAAAGAAAACTGGGCCGATTTAAGGTCCTTATGGCCTACAACAATGCTTTTTTGGTTTCATTGGAATGCATACGAAGTTTCTTGTTTTGTAACGTTTCACTGAGGTCAGCACTGTTTATATATTCTTACAAATAAAACCATAGCCAAACTTATGCATTAAGTCAGTGTCGTAGCTTACAAATCCAATTTTTTTGCGATTTATTTAGGTCTCGACCTGATATCTGAACCGCCCGGTACTCAGAAGGATATATTTCTGCCTAGAGTAGGACGTTTTTTTTAATTTTTTTATTTACTTGGATATGTATCCTGATACAACTTTTGCCAATGTAATTATTTCTAAATTAAAAGTATTTGAGATTAAACAATACCTATTAAGGTGCAAGATACAGATAAAAAAAATGCTTACCACATTCTGCCTTACATTAACAAGGACTGGGTTGCCCAGAGGGAAAAAGACGGACACAGCAATGAGATATGAAACTCTAACTGGCCTTCATCAAGCCGGTGCTCTCACCCTCGCAGCTCTTGATAAGGCTCTCGCCCGCATTGAAATTTTCATTAAATATACTCACCTACTCCAGATTCATGGTAAAAAGCTCAGAGCAAGCAGTGCTGTCTTTCATTCAATAAACATTTTCCGATTCTAAATGATCATTGCTTATCTGGCCCCTATTTCCCTGCTGTTGCAGCCAAGAGAGGCTTGCCGATTCTACACCACTTTTCAGTTGCTTGCTGAGAGTATATTTATTATCCATCAGAAGGAGAGACGTTTCTAAGAGTGGGGGATATTCCTGGTTCATTGCCTTTTGACATTGCTGCATCAAAGGCTGACCATTGCAGCACCAAATCCTGCCTTCCCTGGGTACAATGTGCCAATGTGCGTCCCATGAAGCTAGCAAAGGAGTAATAGCTCCTCCTGCCAAGCAATGATTAACAATCTTTGTAGAGCTAGGAGGACAAAGAAATAGTGCAGTAGCATGCAGGTTTATGGAGGAAATGGGGCAGATGTCGTAACATCCGTCACCATCAGGCTGGCAACCTAAGACTGCGTAATGACCATACTAATTCAAAGCCCGACGCGCACGAAGCATCTTCTGCAAGAAGAAAGACCCTCTCTCAATGTCCTTTCCCCCATTCCTTCTTGCACTTTGCCCTCCTCATCCAAAAGGAGCAGGTCTGGAAGCTAACCTCCACCGCAAGGAGGATGGCTCTCCTTCTTTTTTGGATGGAAAAAGGAAATCAAGAAAAAGTTTCTTCCTCTCTGCTTGTTGGTCGACCTTTAAGGGAATCTCGAGTCGAGGGCGAGATGCAACAAGTGAAGTGTTCCAGTATCCAATTGTAAAGAAGGACGGTGCTGTTGCTGTGCATGTTGAGCTTGTGGGATACCAAGACAATAGAATGGGAATGGGGGAAGAGGGGTGTGTGGGTGCTGAGATGCACTGCATCTATGTTTGAAATGTTTAATTTCTAATATTTTCTTCAATGGTAATGGAGTAGCCGGTCATGCCTTCGAGTGGCTAACATCTCCATTTATTTAAATTTTTGAAAATGCAAACATATCAAAATTGACTGCATGTTGAAATATGCACGCTCACTGCTTATCCAGAGGGGGCGCGCAAGGCATGATGGTAATGGCCATCAATGCCACTTAGCCGTGACGTCTAGTTGCAAACTTCTGTCCAGTTCTATCACCTCCTCCTCGTGCTTCCCATTGGCGGCCACTTTTCATTGTTTCTAATTCCCCACGCAAGCTCCAAAACCTTCTTGCAACGTCCTCTGACGGGGTCGTGTAGAAGGTTTAACAAAGAAGGGACTAGGCCGACCAACAGGTAGAGAGCAGGAAAACGCCCCTCAACTTCTCCTTTTCATCCAAAACAGGAGGAGAGTCCTCTTCCTTTTGGCAGAGATCAGCTTCCAGACTTCCTCCTTTCGGGTAAGAAGAAAAGAGTGCGACAAGGAATGGAAAGAAGGTCACTGGGAGAGGGTCTTCCCACCAGCAGGTGCTCCGTGCTCGTCGGCCCTTCAGGACAGTATCCCTTAAAAAAGACTGGTTTATCACCCGCATGAAAATGAGCTTCTCAGTGTACTGGTTCATGGAGATATGCACACCATGCACACTCTTATCAGGATAAATACCAGATGACAATGTGTCGGTGCAAGATGCGCGACATTGGTATTTGGACAAACCACACCACTCTTGCAAGGATAAAACATTGAAACCGTCAGCCTTGATGAGGGGTTTGTCAGTGAGGAGCTGCTGCCTGGCTAACTCATCATATTGAGCATGCCTTGTTTTCCTGAGGTCGTCGGTCCTTGTACCAGACTACACAACAATTCCACGAAGAGAAAGTGTATCATGCTACCAGTTTCAACCAAAAACTCTAGGGTGGAATGGTACTTTTGTCTGCGGAAAATATTGTGTAAGTTAAACTGCAGTGCTCATTGAGGATCAGGGTTCCTGAATGAGCACTTGCGACTCTGAACATGGTCGGATTGGTCAGGTTTGCAAAAAAAGTTCGCGCAACAACCTATCTTAGCGCAGCCTTACATAACCTATTGGATTTCACCACGGTATCAGTGACAGAAACAACTAATATGTTATTAAAAGAAGCGTATTGTCCGCTTTCTAGTTAAGCATAGTTTTATGGCCACTTTCTCCTACGTCAGCAACTGGCAACTTTCTGAAAGAAGGATGGAGGTCGTAGCTGCAGTTACTGCCTCTGCCGAGTACTAAAAATGGTCGATACATGCTCCTTCCATACTAAATGAGTGTTGGCCTGCCACTTCCTTTATCACCAACTTGGTTTAGACAAAGCTTGCCGTGGTAAGCCATGTGCTATAGTGTTACAGTCTAAGAAGTCTGCCTGGAAAATTGGCACTTACAAAACTATTGTGTGTCTATGATGATGCAGGAAAACATCGCAGATGTTTCGAAGCTCTATTTTATTGGTATTATTAGCCTGCAACCAGCTGCCAAATAATACATTTTGTTGCAATATGCTCTTATAACATTTATACAATCATTTAGACTACACAGATTTCAAATATGCCTGCACAAGATGGCACACAAGCCAAATTCAGGAAATGTGCCTTCTGAAGCACTCGTAAGACAAAGCATATGCCAGCAGATAAATTGACGACCATACAAAAGAGATAAAAGCAGCTCACATCTGCTCAGTACAACGTTGGTTGGAACCGAGGGTATTTTATGAAGCTAGGTTGGCATGACAATTATAATGAGAGTATGTTTCAATCCCATATTTGGAAGACGTGTACCTCAAAATGTATAAACATTTAATGCCTAATGGCACCTGAACTTTAACTTTGTGTATAGAAATATTTAGAAAACATTGACTGTGCACTAAACTTTCACTGGGAGCACATGCAGGTAATCATATGAGAGGTCCTGCATGCCTTTTCATTTATTTTATGAGGAACTTGCACCTGTTGGCACGTGTTTCAAAATATTTGTGCTGCAGCCAAGCCATTCAGAGCCATGGGAAGAGGGCTGCCAAAACAGAATTTAATTACTGCCACCCCAATGTGGCCTGTAACTTTTCGAATGGCAAAGAAAGCAGAGCAACTATACTGTAAACGACTTAATTTTCGCGAATCAGGCCAAAGCTGAAAATTTGAAATTATTTGCGGGTTCCAATTTTCGTGAATCGAGTGTAGCTTTCGTAGCGTTCACATATTGCCCGAATTGTACGTGGGACATATTTTTCGCGAATTGTAGGCGATTCGCGAAAATTTAGTCGTTTACAGTAAATACTAACCAGCGTCGTGCCACAGGGAAGAATAGCTGTCCCTATTTTTACAAACAGCCACAGGTGCTTGCCTTTGACATTAGAGGGTTTTAGAGAACCATTTTTGAAACTCAATCCAATACAAGGCCTCATTTTGCGGCTGGCTGGGGTTGGATCAGGCTATCAATCCAAATTGTGGAAAATGTTCTATAGAACTCTCTAGTATCAAGCTTTCCATTCCAATAGACTCATGCTGGCTTGAAGTGACAAACGTCTCCCCTTCCTTATCAGTTGGGGGTAGACCAAACTATAATGTATAAATATTTTAAAAGAGTAATGGCAGGCAGCAACATCTCGGGGAGAAATTCCTGATCACAGTAAAAGTGCTATCGTGGTTCAATTAATTCACTTTAAAGGGATGGTGAACCGAAAATTGGATTTAAAAAAAACAATGCAGGGGATGTAGGCGGGACGCTACAATCCCTACAACACTACTCGCAAGGCGATATCTCGAATGGACGGCCGTATTTTTGGAAAAAGAGGTCGAGATTGAACCAGGCCGACGAGGCGCGTGACGTCAAGATACCGTGTTTCCTTCTCTCTTCGCTTCGCTCCCTCAAGGCCGCGAGGCGGAGAAGACAAGAGGCCGTTCCCTCTCCTTCTCAGAGAAACATGACGTCAACATTCCTGCCAAATGCGCCTCTTTTTTTTAAAATACGGTCATCCGTTCGAGATATCGCCGATTGAGGGATGTTTCGGTGTTTGTAGCATCCCGTTGCACGCTTTTGCCGCGTGTTTTGGGAAATTCAAATTTCGCTTCAGCATCCCTTTAAGGGTCCCCCATATCTATAACTCGTAACCAAAGAGCCATAACAGTGAGCAACATTGAGCTAACTGATGCTCCACAGCTTCTGCACGCATTCCGGTGCAAAGCAATAAAGCTTTACACACAACAGCACAATTTCACCTGAGAACACAGGTGTCGGGCGGTAAAGCTTGATGCGAGTGGGGAAGCCTACTCATTATCACACATCAAAGGAGTAGACCATTTGTAGCGTCACTCTCACAAATACCGCAAAGAACTTGTCAATGAGTTTCATTTTCAGATGGTGGCCTTTCTTCTCATTGCTTTAGAATCACAGGGACATCAGGACCATCCATGATATGAATACAGGAGGCTCTGAAAGCATTGCGTAATAAATACATTGTTTTCTGTTTTGTGAAGAACTAGGAGACAGCTGTCGTCCTTCCAGATTCACTGCTTGAACTTCCATCTCCTTGTCACCTTGTGGATTAGATCTGCAGCTGCATCTCAGCAGTCCTTAGATCCCATGACCTGAACCCGTCACAAGTCTTGGACATCATTAACAGTCCAATGGTATCCTCCTGGTCCAGCTCTGTAAAAACAAAATGCATGCATATATGAACTAAAGTTTATACAGCCATTTTTTTTCCTTATTCCTAACTTCTCAGTTGTTATATATAGGTTGTTCCTACAGGAATCTGAACTCACCTACCTGTATCCAAACATACATAGGGACTTGGGTTTTTATTTCTGGCTGCAATCTGCTCTCTAAACAGGCTGGAACTATTCGCATTGGAATTATTTGCAAGTTTCACGGTCTAAAGGGGGTGTGCTGGCACCAGTTAAAATGGCCGTCATTTGTATGAACCAGAACGTGGCCAGGCTCCACGCACAAGTGATGCAAATATATGAGACATATGCAATATAATTTTGCCCGAAAGAAGAGCTGGCCAGAATCTTTATTTGGCAATCTATCCTCCACGAGCTAGGGAACATGACTCACACCGCTGCACCACTATCGCTGAAAGTTGCGAATGGACACACAAAAACAATAAATGCACAGAGGCAATTGGCAAATGCTATCAGGGTAAAATGTGGAGGTTTGCTAAACATGCCCCGAGTTGCTTAGCAATGGTTGTTCCAGGAAGGCTTCACTTAAAGCTATTTCTGAGCTCTCTTAGCAGGCGATCTCCACCAAAGACAGTATTTGTTCCTGGGCCTTAAGAGAGAGCAGAAAAACAGCGAAGAAAAATTTAAATGGGTCAGAAAGGTTTTTCTGACTCCATTAGTGTAAATTAGGTTACAATCATAGCACTAACCTGAGCACATGCAAGGCTGGAGGTCTCTGTGGTCAGTTCGAAAGCGGAAAAGAAGACAACAAAGCACAAATGGACAGGGCTACCTTGATTCGTTATTATGAACATTTTCTCTGGGGAATTTCCTATTAAAGAGACACGATTGTATTTACAACTCTGACACTTACACCTAGTACTCTTTTTAATGATCTTAGTAGTTTGGATGTCATGGGACAACCACAGAAACTACGAGCAAAAATGTTAAGTGTCGTACCAATGACATTACGTCACAGTTCCACATTTCTAGTTGATGGGACACCATAGTAGTTTGGAAACAAATTGCCAGCAGTGCCCTCTAATCTGTCAAGGCACAGGACGTCTGATTGCCAGGTTCTTTTCCGTGGTACTGTGATTCCCCATGTGGAAATTTGAAAGTCCGTTTTCTTACTATTTCAGGTAGATTACGGTTGCGTGATGGGGACGAAAGAAATCTTATCTTCGGCAGTGAGTGTAACCATACCCAAAAAGTTAAATGACGCCTCGGGTACAAGAGGAGGGCTGTCTTCTACAGAAATAGCGGGCAATATTGCAGAGTGTTGCATTTTGTATAATGTAAGTGCAAAATAAACTATTAGAGTCAGGAAGGTGTACATTTTTGAGCATGAAATGCATATTGCTCTCATTGTCGCCACACCTTCTCCAAAACCGTTCTCTAAATCTACTCCCAAACCTTTTCGAAATATGTCAGAAACCTTTTCTAATTGTGTGTTCGCTGACTTTGAAGTAAGAATGAATCATCCCCTGTTGGGCATTGAACCTGGGTCAGCGGGGTGGGACGCGAGCACTGTAGAAATCGAGCTATACCATGCGTAGTTCATGTAGGTATTCAAATTTGGGTCAGCTGTGCGCAACTGTCTTGCGCATTTGCTGGTGTGCAGGGCTTTTTGCTGGTTCTGCAACAGCTGGGTACACCGGCGATTTTTGGAGCCCATAGCGGTACGAGAGTGGCATGTGTACTTTCTGCTCGTTACGGCGGCGCGTGTTCTAGGATGTTATAACATTGCGAGACAGGGGCCCGAAAAAGAAGACGTAGAATGGGGGCTCGATTCAATAACTGATTTTCTATCAACGCTCGTCTGGGATTTTGAGCGTCCTAGTTCTTGACAACGCTGGAGATGCGCACAAGGGGTGCGCTCGCTAATACACAGATGGCACTAGCATCTGCCGCCCTTTTATTCTTACACCTACTCTCGGATACGAGATGGACCGCTGTAGTTTTCTTGCAGATGCTTGTTTAACATAAACAAAATTCTGACCATGTCCGTTTTCAACTTTTTATACTGCCAGTTGGTGCCTGTCATTTTTCTCAAGCACACATTATAACCAAATAAATAAACATAGCTGTTAGAAAATCAGCAAATACTTAATGCCGCAATTAGACAGGTGGAAACAGGTACAATATCATCCGCATAAGAAAGGGTATGCCGGCGAATATGTGTCGGTTCGGTGCCGGCATCCGGCATCCGAAAAGGTACGACGATATTATAGTAACATGAGTGTAGTCGGACATGGGGGTTACCGTCGCCAAATGTCTTTCCTGGGCTAGAGTACCGGCTGCCGGTGGAATGGACACGTCACACTTTCACTCTACAATTACTCATTTCCTTCTCATTTGAACAACTTCCACCTTTGGGGCAATGCCATACATACCGAACTGCAAAAGACATGCAGTGATGTGATTGGCCAAAGCCGTTTTGGAGCACCTTTTGGAGCAGCCAAAACGGTGTTTTGGAGCAGCAAAAGTGGCCTTTGGAGCAGGTAAAACAGTGTTCTGGAGCAACAAAAGTTGCTTTTGGAGCGGCCAAAACAGTGTTTAGGAGCAGCAAAAGTGGCTTTTGGAGAAGATATTCTTAGAAAAATAAACATATTTGTTTTAAGTGCTGGACAAACGAAAGACACTTCGCTCGCCGCAATAAACAAATTATGGTCAAGTTAGGCCACCTGGGAGTCTTTCAACATGTAACTGAAATGCCAATGAGATGACATTTTGCGACGCTTAAGTTAAGTGATATATCTGTACAGTTATAGATAAATAACCAAACTGCACATATTAAAATTTATTTGAAAATGACCAGCTTATTAGTAAATATCACAGCATTAGGTTGACTACCGTAGTTATATAATAAATGGAAGCTGTCTCCGACTGATGAAACACGTAACTACTGCACTGCAATGCGAAATTCTACACAAGACAAAGGTGCATTAAAGGGGCCCTGCAACAAATTTTTGACTGGTTTTTAATTTGCACCAATCCTGAGCGCCCTGAACGTAGTAACTTAATGAAACTTTTCTTTTCTCAAATTTCGCTTTATTTTAGAAGTTATATGCAAATTAGAATTACAAAACAAGCAAAAACTAACCTCCTTTATGACGTCGTAGGTCCTGGCTTGAGTAGCCGTAAACTAGAGGAGGGGTAGTGGGCTCATCGAGCGTCACGGCTGCCGCACTTCGTGCCGACGGCTCGAGAGGGCGCCGCTAAAGCACGTGTTGGATAGGCTGTATGAAGCGGACGGCCAGGGCGGATCGCATTGCATTTGCTGCACGATTAAAGACTAATTCGGCATAACATTTCATTGGCCACAAACGACAGCAAACACGGGGTTAATATCAGTTCAGAACGGGAGCCACTTCACGCTGCCATAACGCCAAATGGTAAAATCGCCAGTCAAGCCCGCGCCGAAAGCCCTCGGAACGCTCGGAACCGGTCGGACCCTCGTACCGGTATACAACCGCAGCGCCGCCACGTACATCCGGGACCTTTCTACGTTCACCGTTCGTTGGCGCCTCATCCCACTAGCCCTTTCTAGTATGCGCTTTTTTTCCGCCGCTTGATGGCGGGTATGTCGACTGGTCATTTCTTGTTTCCGTACTTTATAAACTGCATTTGTTTCTTTTCTGATCTAAAAGACTGAACAAAAACTACTTTCATACATAATAGAAATGGTTCGCGACACTTATATTTTTTATCTCGACTAAAAAAAAAGAGATTTTAGCGGTTCTGACCAGTAGTAAGCCCAAGACCAAAGACGTCACATATCGCGCGCTTTTGGCAACGTGGGTCGCCCTCGTAGGGGTAGGAGGTTTCCGCGTCGTCCATTTAAAATATGACGCACTGATATTTAGTTACTCCCTCCGTGTCCGCTAGGTTGCCCGAACCCCAAGAGACGTGGAAACCGCAAAAAAGGTAGACGCTTAAATATGATTGCAGGGCGCCTTTAAGACTAGCGGGCGCTTTTCTTTTTGCTTTTAGAAACTTTCTACAAGGCTGCTGCAAGCCTCACTTTGCCTTTGGCTTGTAATGAATTCCCACTTTCAATGTCTCCAAAGAGACATTGAGACATCCCACAAGTGAACAGTGCTGTGGCCGTTGCCAAGCAATTCAGAAAAACCGCTTCCCACCGTTACATCAGGGCAACTTCGGCAGGCTTGCATCTGCACGTGCTTCGTCGCGCGAGCGGAGATGGCTGTTCGATCGAAGCAGACACCATGCCACTCCGCTCCGTCGCCAACTGGTTCCCAAAATTGTATGCAAAATGTAATAGACCGATCTCACTAAACGTTCAGCGCATGCCTGACGCCGACATAAGTTTAGCTCATAGGAGGCAGAAGGCCATGCATGCCAGGGCTCGTGCCGTCTCGTGTTTAACACGTGCAGAGCTCCAACAGGATTATCGCACGTGCAGAAATACTAAAGTTCCCTAGATGCATTGCGGCAGCGGTGGCGTAGTCAACCTGCCGAGTGAGATCGGTCCATTGTCCAGCATACGAAAAAAAACAGTCCAGCGGCAAGTGCTTGCCAGGCCAGCAGGCAAGGTACAAGCTAAACACACAGAAAAAAAGAACCTCAGCGAGTCAGGTTAAAACAGGACATCGCGATTCAGGGTCAAAAATGTACTTGGAGCGCTTTGCGCAACGACTGAAGCACTAAAGTGTCAACACACGACCGCGTCTATCTTTGAAACTGTTTCTAAAAAGACGCGAGACGAGACACATGAACGAGGAGAGCGTGAAATGAGAGGTGGCGGGAAAAACTATGCAAGACCGGAAGGAAAATTGATACAGGGTACTTTTTGTTGGGCGGCCGCTTGTGCTACCTAGCTCATGCATACTCAATTACGGTACTCAGTTTAGTTTCGGTCTTGAAAGCCGACCAAAATTGCTCTTTTGGCGCAGGCTTGGCGCAGATTTCCCATATTTTGGCAAAATGTAGCAGGATGTAGCAGGGTTCGCCCCTTGGCGCAGTTTGGCGCAATTGGCGCAGCAATCACATCACTGGACATGTATGCAATAGATATTGTTAGAATAATTAGTTATGAGTCTTATGACAGCTTCAAGTATGTTTTGCCATATAAAACGTATCACGATCAAGGATTTTCACTGGGCTAACATGCATTCGTGCAGTGAGATGGCTCAGCACACTGTGCACTGACCCTGTCCTCCGACGCCTATCATCCGTCGTTCCAAAAGAAAACAAGTACTACAAAATCAACGCCCGTATCGACGACTGTGTCTTTCGAGCACGATCCTCAAGTTAGCACAGGTCAAAATAAAGAGTGATTACGAAGTGGAACTTACTACCTACCCTACTCATACGATGTCGTTCGTAGCACCCGAGGAGCCACGTAGCCGGAGTTGTATGTCGGAGCGCGGCCCCTCGATGGGCCCGACGGTGAATCAAGCGGCCGTGGTCGGAGAACGTTGTCGGAGTGGCTCTCGTCCTGCGACGGTGACACTGTGATAAAGCGGTAATGTTATGGTACCGATGCTTTTCCGAGGGACGGTGAAAACGACCTACCTCTGCCTGTTGTGAAGTGTCTAACCCGCGTCAGGCGGGAGCACTCTCTAATCCAAGCCGCCCAAATCGAAGCGAAGCCGGTGAAAATTACGACAGTCAACGGCAACGTTGTTTGTTGGCATACCTTAGGTAGGGTGGTTTGACAACATGACGCGCAGTTCACGCAAAACCGCAAAACCAAAAACAGGTTGCACAGCTGACGACTACAGCGATTAGAGGTACAGCCGCCATTCGCGCCATTCTAGGTTTTTTTTCCCTACCGAGTTGTTGACTGGTCGCGCCACCAACGCGACTTTAAATCCGCGGCGTCCACCCAACCGTCGTGTTTTTCTTTCCATCCGCTTTCTTTTTTTGTGTAACATAATTATATATATGTTGCAATTACGTGTTCTACTCGCTAATTCACAGCCTCCTTCCGAATTTCCTTGATTTCTAGTGCTGACTTCCGCCGCTTGGCATCGGGCGCTCGCGCGTGCGCAGAACGCTTCTCGGAAAAGGTCCATTTGGCTGGAACGACAGTACATTCTCATTCACTTAGCTATCTAAAACACCGAAATAATTAAGAAATAATTGGGGCCACAGATTAAGCGCAAAGAACTGGCAGTAGGTGATTCAAGGAATTTGAATTCAACAGTGAAGGCGTTAACGCGTTTTAGGTAACGGCCTTACCGGCAACGCGTTACTTCTTTCGGCAAAACGCGATCCATACCTACGCGTTTTTGTGCGCGTGTAAATGGTGCGCTTCCCGGAAATTGCGTATTTCGGGATGTCGCGCTGATCTCTTGGGCCTTCCGGGCGCGCATAAGGAAGTTGGATGATTTCAACTATTTCTGAACGCGCACGAACACGTGCTGTGACGTAGTAGGGCGCTCCTCCCCTATATCCTCTCCCGGCCAATCGGCGGAGGGCACCACATCCGGCTCCGCGCTTTTTCGTCGTCTGGCACTCCGCTTGGCCGAAAGTTCACCGACCTAACCCACACGCATGCTTGTGACAGAAAGCTCACCGGAAACAGCAAAAACGTCACGGAATACGGAATTTCCGGGAAGGGCATGACCTGCGCGCGCACAAACACACGATGGTTTGGATCGCGCTTAACGCAGTAACGTACTCTTGACTTTTCCATAAGAGTAACGGGTAACGCACTTATGTCACGCATTTTAAATAAAGGGTGACATAGTTAGCTACTTGTTACATCTTCCCCAAAGCCGCCTCGGTGGCTCCGAAGCGATAGCGCTGGCCTACGGATCCCCATGTGGCGGGTTCGAATTTCGGCCTAGGTGCCCGCAATCTGACGGAGGCTTATGGCGGAGGAGGCGCCGTGTAACCGAGCTTTCGGTTGCACGTCAAAAGATCCCCAGGTGGTCCAAATTAATCCTCAGTTCTCCGCTGGGGCGTGCCAGATGCCCGTCGTTGGTTTGGCAAGTAAAACCCCCAAATTTAACTTTGACATCTTCCCCGAAACAAAAAAAAGTGCACTTAAATTGTTTTCGTGTTTCTATACTTCGTTTTACCAAAGGTCCAGACACAGCCGACGCCACGAGCTCATGGGACAAATGAGAGAGCTTTAAAAGGGCACCATCATGGTGTTTCTTATGTTTCGTTACATGTGCTATCATCGCTGAACCAATCATAAGCAAAACAGTCTTGGTGAGTTGCACTTTTGACGCGGTTTGATTGGCCTCATCGCTCGTAGTGTCGGGTGCGTCTGGACATAAGCACCTTAAGCTGGAACGAAGTAGAGGCTAGGATGGGGCCAGCCTGAACTTGGGATGCGAAAAAAAGTAAAAAACAAAGATAGATTTTTTGCCTTTCAAGTTCAAGCTGGCCCTATCCTAGTACTGCTCCAACTAGCTCAACTCAAGCCCATAACAAAGTGGAGGCGCCAAGTAATTCATTATTGAACTCATTTCACGTACCTTCGAAAGTTTGCGTGACCATTCCTCAAGCAAAAAGTCCCAGTTTAGAAAAACCCCATCGCAACGCCCTTTGTCCCAGTGTCGAAAAACGCTGTTGCCCCCCAAAACGCTCTTACAATCAATTTATAAATAAAAAAGAACGCAAGAGTAAAGGGGTTACTTTTTATCGCAGCAACGGAAGGCGTTCCTATTACCAGGGTTGTAAAGTACCTAGGTACAAGTAACTGGAAATCGGTATCTAGGTACTTTAGTTGTACCTGAGGTACAAACCTAGGTACTTGAATTTCTCGGTATCTGTATTTGTATCTTAGGTACATTTTTCAGTAACTTGTAACTAAGTGAAGCTATTTTTTACAGGTACTTTTCTATTCACTTCGTCAAAATGGTAGAAACTATAAATCTTGAAGTATTAACCCACTACCATGTGCCGTAATTAACATTGAGTTGTGCACGGCATTGGAGGCACTGACTTGATCGAACAACGTTTTAGCGAATGAAGCCCCGCCTATGATGTTTCAGCGAACGACACACTTTAGTGAATGTAGGTGTTCATTTGAGCGAGTGTGAATTAGCAATGCCGTTCTAGCGATACCAATTTATTTAATCGCTTTGGAACTCCGCTTAGGAAAAATAGCGACCTTCTTCCTTCATCTCCAACTGAAATCGACTTCATTGCGTGTTTGAAGTTCCTCTGTCAGCTATACAAGGAAGGAGATAACTTGAACGATGTGCGCAGTTTCTGTCGCCCGTATCTTGTCCTGGTCGTGGCACTGTTCTGCCATTAATGCGATATAAAATGTAATTATAAATAAATTATAATTACAATCGTAAAGCAATGTAACATTGCATATATAATGCAGTTTCCACTCAATAAATCGGACTTAAATCTTGCAGTTATCAGAACTGAGAAAGTTCCAAAGGAAGAAAGAAAAAACAAAAACAAAAAATCTCATTTTTCTACTGACTAACGAAAGAAAAAGAAAAAACGAGGAAGCTTGAAGCCTTTCGCTCGTCGTCGTGAAGGTTAGGTGCATATGCACTCGATTCATGCGTTTCTTCATGCGGCCGACGTCTCCTGGGCCCGTCGGCGTCAGCACCGGCTTTGAGGCCAAGAACGTCTATAAGCGAGTTTCGGCGGTTTCGGCGTGACATGGTAAAGAGTGGAAGCTGTGGACTCGGTGAACCAATTGGAGCTTGGGGTCAAGGCACATGACTCCACACCGATGTGGACATCGCATTGACACCAATAAAGCACATTTATCGAACTCGTTTTTTAGTGTATCCTTAGTATAAAAGCTCTACTTCCAATATATTTTTATACATTAGGGGAAGGTAAATAAAGACAGTATCTTTAAAGTAACTGTACCTGTACCTAGGTACATCTTTAACCAAGTACCTAGGTGCGTACCTAAGTACCTTTTCGTAGGAGTAACTGTAACTGTATCTTAGGTACATTTTTTAAGTAACTTTTACAACCCTGCCTATTACTGCGAGGTAACATAGGTCGGCGATGCTTTCCTTTATATTGCAATTAACGAATAGCGTATTTTACTTACTTTTTTTTTGTAATGCCTACAACACTGGCACCATACGTGGTTTGCGTGTTTTCATTAAGCGCTTCGAAGGAACTTGAGTACAACTGATTTGTTCAAGGAATACAGAAATCAAAGTACTTTTTTTCATTAAAATGCGTAGTTATTAACACCGTGTTAAGGCAGGCTTGCTTCATATTCAGCAGAAACGTGCGAGGACGTGGTCCCCATATGGAGACCGTTATTGAATGAAGCATAGATTTTGTTCTTCAGCATTGGATGTGTCGATTATTTAAAAACTCGAACACTGGAAATTTAAGAACTAAATCAACTTATTCGAGCAATCATTATTCGATGCAAATTCGAAATTAAAACATGAGCATATCAGCAAATAACATGGCTTCTTAGTATACAATGTTTTTTTTTTTTTATTCTTTACAGATTAAAAAAAAAAAAGTCATGAAAGCTACACTTATGCTGTTCGTGCGAGTGAGTAATACGGCCAGGGGGACATTATTATGGATGGCTAACCTTTGCGATAAGTAGGATGATTAAGTAAAATTTGTTAAATAACTTTTTAAGTAGTAAAAATAGTCTTAAGTTCCAATTAGAAAATCGCTGAGCGTTTTTAAAAACCCCTGTCAGCAATTTTTAGAAAGATTTTGAGCGAGTGAGAAGTGCATTAGCGCTAAAGTTACCACTCGTGGAGCAGGTGCAAGGCTGGGGCTAAATAGGAGACAGAAAAATTGCGCGGGCGCCTTACCGCGACCACTGGCCTTGTATCTGTTCCACGAGTGGCAACATTAGTGCACTACTACCCTTCTCAAGTGCTGAAAGTCTTTCTGAAAACGACTCATTTAGTGGTTTTTGACAACGCTCAGCAAGTTTCTGTTTCGAACCATATGTCCATTTTCACTACTTAAGAAAGTTATTTAACAAATTTTAATTAATTAGCCGACTTATCGCAAAAATTAGCCACCCACATAATGTCCCCCTCGGCGTAAAACTCACTCGCACAAACCGCATAACTGTAGCTTTCATGGCTTTTTTAAAACAAATCTGTAAAAAATAAAAAATAAATAATAAAAAGAAATTTATATAGCAATTTCAACTTGCAGGGTTTTGTAGGGAAGGGTTGGAGGGCCCTCGAAGCGTCTGAGCGATAACAGATTTTGAACCTCTTGGATTTTAATAGATTTTTTAAGAAAATCCGAGAGGACATAGTGCCACGTCCCATTCTCGTTTACCGCAAAGCGACATTAAGCTGTGGCTTGGAGTCTTTTAGCAAGAGCATGAAAGCTAAAGCTGCCTTCGTACTGTTACTCCCTTCACTACCGAAGTTAACTTCAGCGCTTAAGGGTAGCAATAAGTTCTGTCTTCTCTTCTTAATATTCTTTGTGCACGACGGGAACAAGGTGACCACAGCAGCCTAAACACTGACAATAAAAGATTGCGTTGGCAAAACGGCAAACACCCCTCTTTTATTTCTATCGGCAACATCAAATTCTTCTGCTCTATTTTTTGTTTTGTTTGCTTTACTGTCCTAAAATCACTCTAAGCAATGTAAAACGAGTATATCAAAATTTGTGTTTGGACAAGTTGGTAAAAGTTCACGCTGAAAAACAACGTGACTGGGACGAGGTCAAAGAAGAGAGATACATAGGAGAGGACAGGAAAGCACAAGTTATTTACCAATCTAAACAGACCTCTAAAAGTTTTTTTTTTTTTAAATATCACTTTTACCCTAGTCTTCAACATTCTTGTAATCGTTTGCACCGAGGTCACTATATCAAGTCTGTCCGATTTAATATTGTACAAAGCTTCGGCCCACCAGCTAAACGTTTCTGGAGCCTTCCAGACAAAGGAATGTTGAAAGGATTCTTGACGCTGCCTACAAATGGACGATTAGTTCACACAGCCAACTTTGCTACAACTCCTTGTGACGGTTTGTCTAATGGTTTCCGAGCTACCCAACCAATCTGCGACACACGTTTTGTTGCGCCTAAACCGCCATAAAAATCTGAGCTTCTAAGGTCTACCCAACCGAATATTAACAAAACAAAAAACACTTAAAATTTTGTTTTCTGTAGCTTTCCTAAACTATCTCAGAGGTATGCTGTGGGTGTTTCAAATGCTGAACATTTGCATTCTTACACCTTGAGAATTTTCTTCCTTGAAGCCAAGGGAAGTCGAAGAGTGAAAGATAGCTGCAACATTCCAGATCGACACACTTCTTTGTGATACGCAAACTGAGGTCTCAGACCTCTGATTCAAGCTTTATAAGGTTGAGTCGAATCTCGTATGGAGTAATCTGGCTGTCAATTGCACCAGATGTGAATGCGCACAATAAACAGAGGGCAGAGGTTTTTTTTTTTATCAATAACTCGGTGCGACGAGGAACGTGTGTGAGTGCTCGCTTGGTTGCCGTGTACCTGTATCAGACTGAGCTTGCATATCTAAGATTTTTAAAGTTTTGCATGAGGGTTGAGGATGTGGTGTTTTTTTAATTTACGGAGTATGCGTTGTTTTCATGAGACTTTCAAGTTTTCTATTACTCGGGTTATATGTCTGCATGAATTATTTTTCAGGTTTGTAATGATTGTTGCTCAACATAGAGAGGGGGGGGGGCACAGTAACTGATATGTGAGTGAAACAATGAGTTGGAGAGTAATCGTTTAGCTTTGGTTGCAAACATGGCTTTGTGACGTCGTACTAGTGTCACAGTGTGGTTCGCCATAGAATGAACATAATCGATCTGCTTTTTTCCATGTCGTATGACCCGAAAATATCCCTCCAAGAGATTTCAATTCGTTGATAATTTCAATAACACAATAAGTTTATAGCAGCTGCTTCAATATTCGAAATCATTTATTTTTTAATAAAAAAGTACTGCCTTCATTTTTATCGGAATAATTTTAAAGTTGCTATATTTTGTGCCATGACTTTATTATTTTAAAATGATTCATATAAAAATATTCTAGCGTCGTTAGTTCATGTAACAACCTTCATTCTTACGTCATTGTTAGTTCTGTAGTTGATGTACTAGACATTAAAAAGAAGCCCGTCAAGCAGGTTCCTGGAGGGACCCCCGAAAGAAAAGGTTTCACAGCTAAGGAGTACCTATCTAGACGGTTCTAGTGCTGTCAATGCTGTACATTGAAATTAAGTAGAGGAATGGCATGTTCCCCCATACCGCAATGTTTCAGCTTCTTAAAGTTGCCCTAAAGTAAACTTTTAAGCTCGGTATTATATGGCGCAATCTCAACCTGCAGGTTCTAAGCATCCCAGAACATTCAACAAAACAATAATGCATAGCCATTTTTCCTCTTAAAAACACAACAAAAAATCGCGACATGTCTACTCTTCATAGCTAAATTTCGGAAAAATAGAGCGTATGGCGCTCACAAGCAGTATACGCTCTCCCATATAATTCCAACTAATAAATAAATAACTAAAACTTACATAGTGCCAGGGACAGGCGTTTATCTTCTCGCTTGCACGGGGTGCCAACCTCAAATCACTATGGCCGATTAGTTTCACACAGGGGAAACACGCTAACACTTCTTTCACGGACGACAATCATATCAACGTTGAGAGAAGCTGATTAGAGCAGCCAATATTATTTCGTTTGCGCGTGGTCTATGGATGCGCGCGGTCGCTTGTTTTGCTAGGGCAATGGCCGATACACAGCGATGCCCCATTATCGTGCCCCTCCCCATCCGCCGCTCAGCGGGTATGAGGGCAGGGGGGCATTTGAAGTTCTTTGCTATCATCGACGCTGTTGTCCACAGGCTCTAAAGACACTATGAGTTTAAAGAAACTTTTGATATTTTTTACGCCCATCCGGTGGCATAATCGGTGCAACAAGAGGGCGGCAGTGATGAACTTTCAAGCTACAGTGAATTCTGAACAAACTTCAATGACAGCATATTTTAATCCCAACTCTTATGAGCGATCCCATAACTGGATAAGAGAGGAAAACATCATCGCTTTGAAGAAGACAACCTTTCAAAACAATTTTATCCAGTGTCAAAAGATCCTTGACGTTGGCTGCGGGACCGGAGACTTCACAAGTGATGTGCTACTGCCCTGGAACCAACCCTGCCACTCGATTGTAGCCGTCGACGCATCCACGCTGATGGTAGACTATGCAAGAAGAAATCACGCTCATTCGCGAATCCGCTACGAGGTCCTTGACATAACGACGCCGGACGTTACCCTATTCCTGGACAAACACGGCAAGTTTACTCGGATCTACTCCTTCTGCTGCTTGAACTGGATTAAAGACCAGGAGGCGGCGTTCAGGAACATTGGCAGGCTCTTGACAGATGATGGAGAGTGCCTGCTTCTGTTCACTGCTCCATTTTTTCTTTACGACGTTTGGCTAGAGATGGCCAAAATGGAACGCTGGAAAGACATCATTGGTGTGAGTATTGGACCGTGTTTTTTTTTTAATATATATATATATATATATATATATATGGAGCAGTCTTGAATTGAAAGAGCATGCTTGGCTGATTTGTTTTTAAGATATTGATAATTAAAGCAGCCGAAGCCAAAGCTGACGTTTCTTCACCTACCGCGGATCGCATGTCTGACCGCTCGCTCATTTTTCGAAATACTGCACTGGGGTTCTTTTCAGATACCCAGAGACAATAAGTAATATTGTTACGCTTTTCTGATAACGAGTAGAACATAAGTTCTTACTATCGATGTTTGAAACTCAATGCCATATTTTGATAGGGTAATGCCATATGTACCTACGAGTAAATACAATTTTCTACCCTCGTCTCTTGTACTGCAGCTTACAAAAAGCAAACCAATTAGTCGGTGACAGGCTAAGATTTCAGTGGAGGCTCCGTTTCAAGCACGCGCTTGTTGACCTTCACCGGGCTGCTCGAGAAGGATGCGGACCACGCACTTGGCAACAACTACAGTAACTGGTAAATTTTGGAACATTTCATAAAGTGTGTGGCCTATAAAATAAAAGTGCTACGTCTTACATTTAAATTCTACTGCCACCGATTTCTGCTAAATTGTTCTAGTCGTAATCCTTTTCGTCCATTTATTTGCCAAAACAACGTAGAAGAATAAAAGCCTCCGCATTGCCACCTCTCCCTTTATGAAACGTCATAGGAGTCGGATCGCGCTAACTCGGCCATTGGGCTGAAGCCCAACCTTCGACGCGCTGATTGAACACGAGCCCCGGCCGAACACTGACGCAGCACTCATGCCAAATCTCAGGCCTCGATCGATCTGACTCTGATGACGTTGCGGAAACCTTCCGCTTATGTAGGTCGTGCTAATTTGTACATTATATTATGTTTTAGATTTTGTGTTGCTAAATGGTGTGGGACTCATTGTTGTGTACGAGGGTACCCTAAAGAAACCGGTATTTGTTATTACGAAATTGCGTATTTATTTGTAAACGCTGAAATTTCAGTAGCCTTCAAAGTACTTTCTGCCTAATGCAATGCATCTTATCAAGACGTTTCTGCCAATGCTCTAGGTAACCTAGAAGCTCGTGATTTGAATGCCTTTCCGTGCTACAGTTTTATTTTCTTCAGCTCTTAGACGTCATAGAACACTGTTTCATTTTGGTAACTTTTTCATGCGGTGTAACAAAACAAAAAGTCACAAGGGGCGAGTTCGGATGTATAGGAAGGGTGTTGCAAGAGAATCATGCCGTTCTTGGTCGAAAACAGCGGAACACTCAGAGAGGGGTGACGGTCACGTTGTCACGGTGGACGAACCTGTCACGCGAAAACTCGGGTCGTCATTCTGTCCAAACCGCGCTGAGTGTTCATAGGTCTTTGACCAAAAATGACCTCTCCCGCGTTCACCTCCTTACTTCACCCAACCTTACTTCCCCGGATGAAATAAAAAAAGTTATCAAAAAGTGAAACTGTGTGCCGATGTGCAAGAAGAAAACAAAAAGCGGCACTAGCATTGAAAGGTACCAAAATCAACGAGTTTGCACTCATTTCGTGTATTGAGCCGACATGACTGGATATGGACATTTCATTAGGTGGAGAGTACTTTCAGGATGACTAAAATATGAGCATGCAAAAATACATACACAATTATGTAAATACAAGTTTCGTTTTTTCGGGGTCCACACTTGTATATAGCCAACAACCCCTCGAAATAAATTCTTCATTCATTCATTCATTCATTCATTCATTCATTCATTCATTCATTCATTCATTCATTCATTCATTCATTCAGAAATGTTTTGTTCATTCTTTCATTAATTTCTTTATTTTATGAGCACATGAACAGCTTGATGCCTTGATATTGATGCACAACAGATTGATCACAGGTTAGTTACAATCGCCACAAAAGTGGCGATTGTAACGCCGAGAGCATTATAACGCCGAGAGCATTATACCAGTGTAGAATCTGGGTCATGGGTCTGGTTGCGATGATTTCACTAATTTGGAAAGTCAGAGAAATCCGGAAAAATTGACTAGGAACAAAAATATTAATGGCTGTGTAAGATCAGGACATTCAATCAATCCATAAATACATTTATACAGGAAAATTATATCTCGCGCACGCCGTCTAGAGCACGAAGTAGGGCAGTTGCGTCGTTCAAAGCGTTTCGCAGAAGAACAGTAAACAGTACGACCAATATAACGGTCATAGAAGCATGTATTATTCACGCCATTGTATGTTTAATTAAATTTGAAGGTAAACGTTATATTCTTTTGTAATTAAGCATACCCACGCCATATTATTGGCCGGAATAGCACCCATGGGAGGATTTATTATAACGTTTACCACCTAAAATTAAAGCTCTATTTGCGGTCACACAAACTAAATACTCAACTTCTACTTACATTTTCTGTTGAGCAACTATCATACCTTGCTACATTAAGGGTTCCGAAGAAGTAATACCTAGAAATATTTATTTGGAGGTTGTTAAACTTCGAAACATTTCTTCATTGAAATGATTGTATCTAATTTTTGCTTGCACATATAATACTGAAATTGAATTCAATAAAAGTAACTAATTTTAGATCTTTTTTATTTGATATAAAGGTCATTAAATATTTGAAATAGGTGACAGTTAAGAATTTGCCAAACGCTGGCAAATATTAATAAAGGCGAAGAGGTTAGAAATTTTTTTCTTTATCTTTTAAAATATGGGAGTTTTGTTTAAATTATAGTTATATATAATAAAAACGTTTTGCGAGTTTTCCCAAAAATCCTATTGCAGTAGCTTTAAAAGTGACAAAATTGCGAACGGTCAAACATGTGGTTCCCAACGGGTGAGAGAAACGTAGGCTTTCGCCTCGGCTGGTCAGTAACTTGATAACAAATTGTCTACCAAGCTTGCCCTTTCCTGCCTTCTTCATTCCAAGAAAACTCCCAAAGCGTACATTTTTTTTTCGGCAAAATCAAAATTCGATCTTAAAACCGTGCCTGGGTAGAAAAAAAATATATTCAAATGCTGGTTAAAAAAAAACAAAAAAACTTTTAGACAAAAAAAGAAACTGATGCGTGTATACGTTAATACCCGCTCTTAGACGAAGAAGAAGCGACTCCTCAACGGACACAGTCGCCCCACATGAAGGAACCTTGTTGTTATTGAAACGTCGGGCCCCTTGATAGTTAGAAATTGGTTGGAAAATATTTTTAATTTCTTATAATTCGATCCCAACAAGGCAGTCTTCTGTCGAATGCGTTTACTTTTCCTTGCCATTGCAAGGTATGCAGCGCACTTTACGTTTCAGTTGCAGATATCAGTGGGCATGATTATGCATTAATCTTCTCCTAGTTCAATATTTTTTCTATGTTTCTGACAATATAGACTAAACGATCGTTGTTCCCGGGGAGGATATCTGATAAAAAAGTGTTAGTAAATTAACCTATAAATTGCATCCAGTGCATAATAAGACATTAATAAAATATTGTATTTAACACAAAATATACTTACTTGTACACAGCTGCAGAACTTACCAATAAACGTGTCTTGTTTTTTGTTTTTTTTTTCGCATCCGGGGGCACTTTATTAACGCAGTCGCATCCGAGGGTGGTCCAATGGAGGGAAGGCGAGGAACGCAAGAGAATGTCTACGAAACCACTTTCAATCCCTGGCTCCACCTAGCAGAAAGTGGGATCCAAAGTTAAGACACAATAGGCACACAAGTGGCTTTTGGGAAGCCCAATTTAGGTCACTGCAGCTCAATAAAACCTGCAGCATCCAGCTTCCTTGGCCGAGGAAGTGTTCGCGCTCACATGAAAACGCGCTCGCGTCTTTTCATACGAAAACCAAGGCAAAACCGCCTGTACCGGCGATTTCCAAAAATGGTCCATTATCAACCGTACCAGGCGGTGGCGTCACGATCTTCCACTAACGGAACCGCTCTAGCGTCAGAAGAAAGTTGTAAAATCTGGATGACGTCACCGGCACTTCGGTACCTTCAAGCGTACTGTGCCATTCAAAGACAACTTGAAAAAAAGAAAGAAAAGAAAAGCGGACAGGCGGACCCATTAAGGCGTGTGTACTTGGGGGTATCTATTTGGTATTTTGTTTGCTTTTGGAGACTGCATTTTGCTCGTGCCTTGTTTCCTGTCCTCTGTATGGTCGTTTGACTCCAAGTGCGCAATCGGTTCAGCTTTGCCCTGGAGTCTGACGATCCCTAGCACCTTAAATTGTCCTGGAAAAAACGTTTTCGAATTTTCAAAAATGCATTTATGATACTGAGTACAAGATAAGTGGAAATGTAATTAAGACACAGTAGCAAACGCTACAGGAGAAATATATTTTCAGGATACCGAAATACTACCAAAAGTATTTAAGATACAGTATCTTGAGTGCAGTATTTAAGATAAGCACACGTCTTAATTGGGTCAACAGCTAGTGATGTTCAAAGCAGAGTGTCGCGGTGTTGTTCGTGACTTACATGTGTTAATAAGTGAACGATACACTGTTTTATCTCTAAAAAAAAGCCCATTCTCAATACAAAAAAAAAAAAGTACTAGATTTAAGGAAAGCATAAATGCATAAATATATACACCAAGGAAGCGAAAGGATCTGAAAAGTTACAAGTGGCGGAGGGTTAGGTCTAGCTCGCGAGTTCGGTGTAGATAACGGGCCGCAGGCTGGTCAACTCGACTCGACCTTGGCGCGCTCTTCCCTACCGGACTCAACTCGACTTTGGGGTCGAGTTGAGTCAGGTGGGGAAGGGCGCTTCGGTCTTGAGGTCTCTCTAGGTGTTGGCGGGATCTTGATTTGCAACGCGAGCTTTCGGTCTTGCTCGGCGTCAGATGTGGACACCGTCCCTGCTCCCAAAGAGGTCAGGTCAGTCCCTCCAAATTGGCGCCAAGACCCATCCATAAGCAGCAGACTTTGTTGGACCTCTTGAGGCCCAAGCGACAATGGAGGTCCAGCGTCCTGACACAGCCTGGTTCGAATAT